TCGCTATAATACAAATAAGTGTATACATTGGCACATTGGAATAGATTGGTGATACCATAAAGAGTAAAGCTACAATTAAAGCACATATTGAGAATTGATATATTTATTGCGCCACAAATAATATGGGTATACTTTAATATTAATTCAGCTAAGACAGTTCTTGCTGTAAGAGAAAGGTATCGCTCCATTCTGGAGATGTCATATATCAACATCTAATTGGAGGCCTGTTAGAAGTTTGCTTTATTGCAGTAGGCATTGAGGTACACATTTGCGTCAATGTAATAAAACACAGTATCTTGGGCAAAGAAACATTGTCAATGCATGAGATATCCTCCAACTAAAATCCATAAAAAAATCATGTAAAATTTGTTGGATCAGTGATAAAGTTACATATAGTGTTCTGAGCCTGTGTGCTTATAGTATTTAATTCAGGAGTAAAATTTTTAAATTTCTTTTTCTATAATAAAATTATCTTTTTTTAATTAATATTGTATATTTCTTGATATTTCCATAAAAAGGATAAATTGATCTATCCGGATTTATGGGGTACATAAAACATAATATGTGTATACAGAAGGGTTAATGTTTTGAAATGACCTTTAATGGTAGAATGTGTTGTACATGAATTTTCTTATTTAAATTACAATCCAATTACTAACCAAGTGAACATCAAATTCTAACATTTATTGATATTTAATAAGTATTGAAAGTCAATATTTAGTCCAATTATCGAAATTGAAAAGTCCAGTGCAAAATTTCAACATAATTAGTTAAATTTTGCCAATTTTCCCCCTAATTGTGGAAATAGATTGTTTGTTTGTAGATTGTTTTTGTAGAAAATTATTATTTTTCTGACGTTTAAATTTGCAATTATTTTTGGAAGAGTTCTGTGTTAATTATGCTCCCAACAGCATGTGGCAAGTGGCTCCATGCCAGCTGTGGCAAATGCTGATTCCAAACTGTCGGAAATGTGTGAATATGAATTTAATTTGAGGGAATTTCGTAATGTGAAATAAATTTTGAAGAGTTTTAAATTAGTCAGTGTAATAATAAATTTTAAATTTAATTAAAAATAAAGTAAGTAAAACTTTACTTAAATAAAGTAGATAATATTTTAAAAAAAAATTTTTTAATTAAGTTTTCTTGATTTTTAATATGGTTTGTTATAATAGAAGTATAGTTATTTACACTCTCCATATTTTAACAAAATAATTATTATTATTAATATAGTATATATATCATAAATAAAATTAAGTAAAAAAGCTTTCATAGTAACATCGTCAAATGACATGTGACGATCTTTCCTGAATTCACCATTCCTGTATACTCAAACTCCATATAGATAATACACATTAGACAAAGTGCAGATTACACGGATGATATGAACATCTTCGGGAGATACAAATCAGTTGATAATATAATGTATAATATATATGTTATATATAATATATATGTATATAACAATCCATAGCCTAGACCGGGCTAGATAACAATGTAATCTAATATAACATAATATATATGCCGCGTTTAAGATATATAACAAGCCTTTGTCTAGATCGGGCTAGCAGTACAAAGAGTAGGATTGCTTATTAATGGAATAAAGATGACATTAACATATGACATCAACATTATCGGGAAAACCAAATCAATCAACAATATAATATTATATAATATATAATAAAGATATAATATAGATATCATATATAATATATATAACAATCCATTGTCTAGAATCGGGCTGACAGCACAAAGAGTAGGATTGCTTATTGATGAAAGAAACATGAACTGGTAGGTGTGTTAACTGCAATAAGAATCTCTACCGTTTATCAAACAATCGAAGTCTTGGGTTATAAGTCTGAAGTGGTGCAATCCTTCATCATGATTTAATTGTAGTACCTGATAACATAGATGAAGAAATACTCAGGGTGCTGTTAAAAACAATGTTTTTGAATATAGGACTTAAATTTAAATTTAAGAAAGGCCTTTTAAATTTAGGAATTCAATTTTATTATATAAACTATTGCACTGCTAAACCAGGACTGTTCAAAGCACATCTGTAGGTCACATGAGGGCCGTGGTTTAAATCTACTAAAGTTTTGTAAATTTTCTTTTGATGTACTGGTAGAACCACACTATTTTATTTTATTGGTAAACAAAATAACTGAATTTAAATCGATAAATTATTAATACAAACATTATAACCGTATTTTTTTTTTATCAAAAAAAAAAACATGTATTTGTTTTTGAAGTCCTCCAATCTGTACTGTGGTTTGTATTAATCCGCGATCGCATCTGGTCTGAACAGTCCTGTGCTAAACTATAATCTTGTCCATACTTAGGTATAGGATATTCAAGTTTCAGACCCAAGTAGTCTTAAACTTTTAGTCGCGTTTGAGAAAAAAAGTTATACAATTTAATAAGAAATCGAATACGAATAATTTTAAATTACGCCCCAACAGACAAAGGTAACATGAACGGAAAGGCACACAAATATCGATTCGTCTTAAAAAATCATTAGGAAATGATTTTCAACATTTCCTCAAATATGTGACAAACATATTGGCACACTTACGATACCCTTTACTCAATAGTGTGAATAGAGTTACTTACAATTTAAACTAATAATAACCAATGATTTGATTAGTATATATTCCATTTTCCAATAAAACTGAAAATATGTGCTGGATTCTAATAACTTCAACTGACATATGCGCTGACGTTTTGATTTTTCACGCCACGTATCTAATCTAAAAAGAAAAGTAAAAAATAAAATAATAATCCATATATGATGAACTATTTTCAGATATACCAGTGTGTTCACATCCATTGTAGCTTCAGCTCCAACTGAAATAATAAAGTACACAAAAGTAAGAGGGGTGGATATACTCCTATGTGGTAGTAACAAATGCTCCCCTCACACTCAATTGTCTATAATGATTGGCATACAAACAACTGATGAAATAAATCATTTCAGATGAACAACCGAATATCGCTGCCGGTGGAGTCCTCATGACTGTGCTCCCCTGTCGTCTGGTACAGTGTTGCAAGCAGCAAGTGTGAGTGAGTGTCAATTACGTATTGTGTCAAAAATGTCAAATTTTCATGGTTAAATCGAGTTGGTGGGTTTGTGAGCAACGTGTACGCAGTTCGCCTTAACGATTCTATGCGAATACGTCATACGTCACACTTGGAATATGGAGCACGTTGGTTGGAACAATGTGGCTATAGTTTATCAGTGATGGAGATTGTGTTATACCCCATGTCATCATTGAGAAATTAACTCTGAGCAACATATGCGGATTTTATATATATTAGTAACATATTAGGGGCTCCCGTAGTATAGGAACAATATTGTTAGTACTTTTAAAAACGCTACTGTGTAGCTTGTTTATTATTGTATCTTTTCACATCATTTGTTAGTGTTGCTTCACGCAAACCTCACAGACATGAGAAATTTGATACAAATGAGTTTTAACGTATTCGCTGACAGCTTTATCCTTCCATATATTTTCACATTGAAACACTTGCAGTAATTTCATATTTTTATACATAAGAGTGTGTGTATTCTGTTATAGAGGATGTGAGTATATTTATTGTACAATATATCCTTTTTGGTGAACACAAAGGGTAAACTTACGCTGTCAGATTTATGACATCAAAACACTTCAACATGTGAAGTGTTGGTAAATTACAATTCGATTTTATTTCCACATTTTTGCATTTGGATTCTATTTTCATATTTGAATATATCTGTACATATCATTAGGAAATGAGTAAATATATACATATACATATATATATATATAAATATATAAATAAAAATTTATACAAATATGTTAACATATCTTCTTATTTGAAGAAGTCTTATTGAAGACTTGGACACTATCTAGAATATTGAATAAAGGAGTTAACTTATAACTCCAATTATCAAATTATTGATCCAGTCATGTTTGTGCACCAAATACTGTTGTAATAAACAATAGAAATTAAAATATCGAAGTTATTCCTTGACAATGCTCGATTCCGATATCCGGAGATAGCTGTTTGATAATAAATTAATATAGCATTACCTATTTTGAGCAATTTGTTTCAATTCGCTATGTGCCGATGGGCGATAGTTTCAGATGGATACTTGAATATCTAAGATTGCTTATTAAGACCGATTTTATTAGTACTACATTAATTCTTGCTAGTGATGTATTTATTTAAATTGTACTATAATAGTAGACTATAGCGAGAATAGTAGACTATATCATTTAAAAGTCTAAAACCTAGCGTGCTGTTCTTCATTAATATACAATTCAGACTCACCTAGATTTTGTCTTTTTGGCAAGGCGTGACTTCGGGATTTTGGATTTTGATAATGTCTTCACGAAATTTTTCCTGCCCTCTTAAAAAACTGGATGCAAACTGCAGATTCTGCGAAGAGAATGAGGAGTCAACCATACCTGTGCTGTTAGAATGCCCTATACTAATGTACAAACGGAATAGACGGAAGAAGCAAAAAAACTCTGTTAAGTAGGTTCTATACTAGTTTTTATTGACGGAACAGGGCTTAGAGTCTTACTCTAAACCCAGAAGGGGGCACAATAGATCCGATGGTCGCAGTGTAATTTGATTTTAATCAAACACTTAATTGAATATGCTGGATGGGCTAAGTTAGAATTCAACGGAATGTTTATATGCATAGAGACCATTATATTCAAGAAGAATGACTCGCTTATTTTTTAGATCTGGAGAAACTAAATTGTATATTGACAGAATGCTTTTTTTAATTACTTATTTCTATTATATTATATTAGAAAGGCTTCTCATTTAACTAAAATATGTGTTTATTTCTTATATATATATATAAACATTTCCAGTATAGACAAAATGTAAATTAATTTTGTTTGCCAAAAATAGTACATAAATTTTTATGTATGTTGTAAGAAGCGATCCCTGGTCAACACAACGTATACGATACATCCTTCTCCAATCACAATTGGATATTTGTTTTAAGATATTTTCTTGGAGAAAATAGAAAGCTTGCTCCATCAGTTGGTTTGTTACAGCTATAAAGAAAGAAGTATATGATATATAAAAAAATGTTAATAGAAATAATAGAATATTTTAAAAAAAGAAATTTTTTATTTTAAATAAATTTTGCATTATTGTCAGAGTGAATGTTAAAATTCTCGTTTTTTCAGAAGGATATGTGTATATTTTTGTATGGGTGTATTCCCAAAACATTTTTTATATGTGTAATAATTTTATAAAAAAGTATCAAAATGAAAGTATAAAGTGACAATTGTTATTTGACTCTTTCTGTCTCCTTTTCTATCTCTATTTCCCTCTCTATCTCTCTCTCTATCTCTCTTTTTCTCTCCCACTCCTTCACTTTTTCTCTCTCACTTAAACTTTCTTTTTCACTTCCTCTCTTTTTCTGTCTCACTCCCTCTTTTTTTTGCTCTCCGCTCTCACTGCCACTATATCTCTCTCTCACTCTCTCTTTTTATTTTCTACTCTCTCATTTTCTCTCTTTCCCTCTTTCTTTTTCTCTATCTTTCTCTGTTTTTATTCCTTTCTTTATCGCTCTTTCTTTCTCTCCTTTTTCCTCTCTTTCTTTCTCTCTTTCTTCCTCTCTTACTTTATCTCTCTTTCTTTCTCTTTCTCTTTCTCTTTCTCTTTCTCTCTTTATCTTTCTCTCTCTTCATGGTCATGCCCATAAAAAGCCAATTCAAATTGTTGTTGTAGTTCTATTATAAACAATTGCTTTGTTTTTAGTTTAAATATGTGATTAATTTATAGGTGCTATAGTCTATTTCATTAACCAAGAGTCACTACTGTGCAACAACATATTAAATATTAAAGAAATAGATAAAATATTGATTAGCAATTTATTTTATTGTGTTATTATTGTCCCTCTATACTAAAATTTACTATATCAGAACTCCTAACAAATTACATAGTAATTAGATGATACAATTTAAACTCAGATTCAGTCTACATAGTTTAAGGTGTTATTAGTTATGATAATTTAGCCGTGTGTGAGTTTAAGTAGATTGAGGTAAAGTAAATTAAAATTTCCTAGGGATTTTTTTAAATATTTATTTATTTATTTATTTATTGTACTTATTTATTTATGGTAACATTCGCTGCCATACCGACATAATTGACTATTTCCCTCAATTTACCATCAATTTACTCGAACTCGCACACGGCCTTAATATACAGCAGCATTGTTGATAACATTTAATCCACACTCTTTAATCTTAGTTATCATTACACCGAATATAGTATATTTAATTGCATCACTTAAAAGATCTTATATTGGTTTTCTTAGTAAATTCCTAATTAACTTGTTTAAATAAATATTGAATATATATATCGAAAAATTCTTTTTTTTTAGTTATTTTTAAAATATATCGTGTAAATAAAAAAGAAAAAATCATTTGGTTCAATCAAGTTTTAATGTATTAATTTAATTCTGGGAACAATTTTAAGCTGATCAATTAATCATTTGGCACTTGTTGCTTTAATCATTGATCCTTTAAAATGCCACATAACTCGTTCCCATTATAAACTGACACACCCACTTTTTGCATTATTAATTTGATCTTTAAATCTACTCAATAAACAAGTAGCAATGTAAGAGGAGTTTGATATGCAGAGGAAGGAAAACGACCTCTAAACCTTTAAATAAGTAATTCTGAATAAACTCATTTGTCAAAAATTTTATCAAAAAAAAAAAAAGGAAAAATAATTCCGTTGCCTTTCAAAATACACTTGCGCCCATCTCGGATGTGGCGAAAAATTATCGTAAATCTTTAATTGAACTGCAGAATTTGGAAAAGATTGCAAGAGAGAAATGTAACGAATTTCACTTCCTGAGAATCGCATAAAGTGGCAAGCCAGCCACACTGAGCAGTGCAGTCGTTCCGAAGACAATTGCTTAGTTATAAATTATAAAATTGACAGCAGCCAGTAGCGAAATCAGACTTGGAACAAATGTAAGCAGTCCGAAATAGTGTATATCTGTTTCAGTAACAAGTGGATACTTTTATCGGCTGTCAAAAATCGCCAAGCTTAATTATGACGATTTTCGTTGTGCGAATTCGAGTACTCGTACCTCGTACCACATTTCGCACCATTAACTTTCGAAAATGCATATCGCATATGAAGCGAAACTAACTAATCGCGAGGAGCAATGGAAAAGTGGAAGATATTCTGTAATTTTGTATTATTATTCCCATTTGCTGGGAATTGGTGCGCAGGCGCGTAGTCTCGCGTTCTTACCTTTAATTTTAATTTCAGAAAAATGTGTCTGCTTTAATGTGTGTCATTTGATTAATGAGGCCACAGCCAGTCATCGATCTCCATTTAGTGCCTCAAACTGACACACGTTCTGTCAAATTACAACGAAACTACAATAAGCAAAAGAATGGCAATTACTGAAATGAATTGACAGAGACAGAGAGAAGTCCAGGAGGGCTTGAATAATTGGTCATTGCAATTTTTAACGATTTGTACAAATGTTCAAGGAAATTGTTTAGGGAAATTGAATATAAAATTTATAGTGTTTCATGACATGACATTGGTATCCGTACTTCAAATTTCACAAATTAGCTAAGGCATTCTTTATAATCACACTTAATTGTTTTTTTTTCTTTTTAATAGGCGATTTTATTGCATATAAAGGTGTATGTATCATTTCGTATAACCCTGACGATTATTGGCGGGAAAATTTATATTATTATTTTTTAAATTGATTATTTCAGTAACTTGGTATTCAGACAACTCATAGGAATAAGTGCTATTATTCAGATTTTTCTCAGTTCTTTTTAAATCCCGCTTAGATCTTTTTCCTTCCAAACGATAAAATTTCTATAATCAGTCACAGACTTCTGCGTTATTAATGCTAGTATGCGCGAAAGTTTACATTCTATGGTTGTTTAAAAGTCATATGATATATATGTCCAATAGTTCATCTGTTTCCCCAGTTCTGAGCTCAGTACATTATCTTTACTCCTACGCTATGTACACAATCGTTACTTCTGAGCTCAAACCGTAATTGTTGCTTCTGAATTCAGTGAATAATGCTTACTTCTGAGATCAACAAGTAATCCAACAAGTAATAAACTTCTGCGCTCAGTCAGTAATCTTTACTTCCAAGCTCAGTAAGCAGTTCTTACTCATGGATTCAGTAATCCTTACGTTCCAGTAATCCTTATTTCTGTTCTCAATAAGTAGTATAGCAGACAATTTTAGCATATCTATTCGTTTTTAAAAGTTTCAGATGATAAATAATCTTCTGTACAATATTGCTATTGCTATCATCGAACCTCAGAATATTATTCCTTTATTAAACATTGTCCCAAGCACTACCATTTACATAAAATCAAAATAAATATTTAGGTTGACACTTATCTCTTGGCTATAGAACCATGGCTATACATCTATAGATCCAATATGAACTCGAAAGACAGGTTTCATCAGGTGTTTCTAGACTTAATTTTTTTATATTTATTTTTAGATTTATCTATAACGAAGTAAAACTCATTGCAAAAGTAATTTCACACACAAAAACGCTTATCAGAATTAAATGATGCGCTCTACGACGGTTTATATTCACACGCTGCATGTCGCCACAAATGAACTTTTTCCGAAACCAACCCACATTCAAGCCAAACACTGGCAAAACCGTTGGTGACAAATAAATTAAAAAGAAAAAAAGAGAAAAAATATAAAAAAAAAGAAGAAAAAATATTTATGTTGGAGTGGTGGCAACAAAGGTGAACCTTAAAAATTCGAAGCGCGAAATTAATTTGACGAATGAAGCCGAAGAAAATAAAGCTTTTGTTGTGGAAATATGTTATTTTGTTGTATAGTGTAAACACTGAGCTACTCGCATATGCTCCTCGCAGAAGAATTACCTGCAAGATGCTTTTGTATTAGGTGGGCACATGGTCAATATAAGCAACCATGTAATGCCTATTAGTTGGCATTTCTTCATACTTGTAAGTTTGTTGTTGTCATGTGCATGTCAAATTGTCCCAATGACGCGATTAAATGCTTAACTGTCTTCAAATTACCCAACTAACGGTATTGGAAGACATTGAAAATAATGCAATAAAATTCTTAAAATCCGAAAACACTTAATTGCTATTGAACCAAAACAACAAAAAAAAGCAGGAAGAGACAAATCTTGAAAATACACTTGAAAAAAAATATGGAAATGCAATTACAAACGACATAAACTAAACATTTTTGATTCCAACGTGGATTCAGAAACAAATCACACTTAGGTCACTTATAGGCCTAAGTGGAACACTTGGGATCACCGGTATAACCTAGCTGCTTAAGATAGATAGGAATTAGAAATGATTGGAATCTAAGCTTTTAATGTAATGAACACCATCACCATAAAAGATTGTTTATATTACAGCGACACTTGTTACTACAATGTCCAGTTATTTAATTTTAAGTAGGGTTTAAGCACAAGCCCACTTAACCTAACCGCTATAACCGGACTCTAATCGAAAAAAGACTTTTACTTTGTTAAAAGAGCTGACAAAACGTCTTATAGAGAAATAACTAATATTAATCGAAGACAAAATATATACTATATATACTATATATATACTATATATACTATCAGTTAATATATACTATAATTCTATGGACTATAATATCTCTATAAATTTTTAAAAGTTTGTATTATTAAAGGTATATTTCACATTTAAATGTTTAATAAAAATATTATATATAATTATTAAATAAATAATAAAATTTTTTACATTTTATTTCCTCTTTGGCACAATCCTGGGTAAGCACTTAATTTGTCGAATCTAAAAGTCAAAAAGAGACTATATAGTAGTTTTTTAAAATCAAAGGCTTTAGTTACGAACTCTTGTTATCCAAATAGTTTTGTTTTAGAAATTTTGTACAATTCTGATTATTTCACCCCATTTATCGAAATCCTATCTATAAGTTTAAAAGAATCTATATAGTACTTTTTAAAAATTAAAGAAGTTTGGTTATGGACTATTATTATCCAAATATTATTTTAGAAATTTTGTGCAATCCCGGTTAAGTTACTCAATTTATCGAAATCCCATCTATAAATCTGAAAGGAACTATATGGTAGTGTTTAAATATCAGAGGCTTTAGTTATGGTCTATTATTAACCAAATAATATTTTTTTAGAAATTTCGTACAATCCTGATTAAGTCACTCAATTTATCGAAATCCTATCTATAAGTCTGAAAGAAACTATATAGTAATTTTTAAAAATTAAAGAAGTTTGGTTATGGACAATTATTATCCAAATATTATTTTAGAAATTTTGTGTAAAAATAGGATTTGTGCAAATCCTATCTATAGGTCCGAAAAAACTATAGTAGTTTTTCAAAATCAGAGGCTTTAATTATAGACTATCATCCAAATAATATTTTTTTTAGAAATTTTGTACAATCCTGGTTAAGTCACTCAATTTATCGAAATTCCATCTATAAGTCTGAAAGGAACTATATAAGTTTTAAAAATCAGAGGCTTTAGTTATAGACTACTATCCAAATAATATTTTTTTTAGAAATTTTGTACAATCCTGATTAAGTCACTCAATTTATCGAAATCCTATCTATAAGTCTGAAAGAAACTATATAGTAGTTTTTAAAAATTAAAGAAGTTTGGTTATGGACTATTATTATCCAAATATTATTTTAGAAATTTTGTGCAAAAATAGGATTTGTGTAAATCCTATCTATAGGTCTGAAAAAATTATAGTAGTTTTTCAAAATCAGAGGCTTTAGTTATAGACTATCATCCAAATAATATTTTTTTTAGAAATTTTGTACAATCCTGGTTAAGTCACTCAATTTATCGAAATTCCATCTATGAGTCTGAAAGGAACTATATAAGTTTTTAAAAATCAGAGGCTTTAGCTTTAGAAATCCCATCTATAAGTTTATAGAACTATATAGAAGTTTTTAAAAATCAGCGGCTTTAATTACGGACTATTATTATTAAAATAATATTGTTTTTTAGAAATTTCAATCTTTTTTTTAAGAAAATTTTGGCTAGTGTAGTTTTAATATTTAATTTTGTTGCTAAAAAACAAAATGTTAACTTGTGACAATCGACAGCATATCGAAAACAATTAAGATTCTCATAGATTAAAATAGTAAAATCAAATGGAGAAAGTAAGATAAAGACACTGACACTGCATAGCGCTGGCGCACCTATAGGAATACATATTCCCAAACAAGTGATGCATTCAAGCGCTTTTATTGTGAAGCAGATAAAGTAAGTGCTGTAAGTAGCTTTAGTTAATATTTGTTGTGATTTCGTGATTTGAACACAATTTCAAGTCAAATTTTATTAGCACTTGACAGCACAAAAAAAAAAATACTAAAAGAAAGTGTTTAATTTTTGTCAATTGTAGTTTTTGGTTAAAGTTTAGTTTAAGTTGTAGTGCAAAAAAAAAAATTTACTTAAATGTGAAATGTTTCGTTTATTTTGAAAATTCCATTTTCCGACAATAGTTCGAATTTTCTTTTTTAATATATGTGGGCGGCGTTACAAGTTGACATTTATCCCATTCAACTTGTATTTTGTGCTCGTACTTCATTTTAAAAGGTTTGGCCGCATATTTTATGCACTGGAATCGCACTAATCATGCTGTAAAAGATACAGCTTGGCAGAAAATCCAAAATCCAAAAAACAAAAAATAAATAACACTAAAGCTAATAAAGCGCCTTGTGTTTACTATGGAATTGTGGACTTCATCAATTCCAGTTATAGCAATTTTGTGGGTGCTTGTTTCTCCTTTTGCCTGTCTGACTGTCTGACTGTCTGTCCGCCTGTAAGTCTGTCTTGAGACTATTTTTCTTCTCGATGTGTGCAAGGTCTTTACTCTTTAGTCTTGGCACAACCAACCTACTTTCCTTGGTTATTGTGGTATTTTAATTGATTTGTCGTCGTCTCAGTCGTTAGGATAGCAATTTTTTATTTTATTTTAAATAGTTTTTTTCGCAATTCCTTTTATGACTACTATTTTTATTGGCATCAACTATTCCCTGATGTCAGCCAAATTTTGCTAGGAATTACACGTTGACTCGTTAACCACCGTTTAAATTGCAGTTAAAATTTTTTTAAATTTCCGTTCAGTTTTAAAAATAATTCTTTTTATTTGATTTAATATGCAAAACAATCGCAGTCATATAGAATTTAACACCTCAGTGGATTTAATGCTTCTTCTCTGTCATCTTGTATTGGAAGAATTCTCTAAGACTCTCCAATTTTAAAAAGTTTTAATATTTATTTTTATTTTTTTTCTAAGTACACGTGCCTTTGTAAAACTAATTTACATAAAATTTTAATTTATATATGTAATTAATTACTAATGACTGGTTGGAGTCGTCAAATTGTTGTCAATAATCGTAATATATAGGATCAATAAAATTGGAAATAATGACGTTTCTTATTTTTTTTTATATACAATATAAAGTTTAGGACTGGTCTTTAAAGATTTATTGAATATTATCGTTATGATAGTAGAATGTTTCAAGCAATTAGAAACGCAAGTAGATAGTTCTTAATACAAGTTCAGAACTTCATTTTAGGTTTCAGGTTCAGAACTTCATTTACGGATATTAACAGGTAATTTTTATAAAGCTATAAGTATTCATTATCAATAAATTTGTCAGGTCATAACTATATAAGGTACTGTCTTTTAAAGTTTTGTGGGAGCTTCCTTTCTCCAAAACCCTAATTGCATTAATAAAATAATTTAAAATTAGTTGTAATAAAATGGTAAACCATTAAGTATAACATCTCTTTAAAAAGATTTTTTTTAATTATAGGTTAGCAGAAACTATTTTCTGTTAAATTTAGAATAATTCCTTTTCTTTTGAACCATATTTTTGATAGGCTATTTGATTGTTTTATGAAGGCCAATACCGTTTCGTTTTTTACAATTGTTTTATAACAGGTAATGTAGTTTACTTGATAATAAAGAAATCTCTATTTCTGTCAACTTTCATATTTTCCGAAAAAACTGAGCTGTGAAGAACCAGTTCATCGACTATATACGAGGCCACCTTGGACTCAAATGATATGTTTTTTGTGGCTTCCAACTACAAGACTATCAATTACGCTAAACGTTTGCAGTTGTGTTAAGACAAAATGACATTTGTGTGAGAATAAAAAAAACTCTATCTCTGCTAACTTATATATTCTCTGAAACAGTCTTTTTAGACAGTTCACAGGCTCTAACATGAATAGAACCTTTATTATATAGATATTGTTTCTATTATTTTATCTAATTTAAACACAAGCAGCAGCTCGTTACGAATCGAGTCATTATTTCTGCAATTACCAGTTCTCCGTATGGACCCGAGTTGATTTCAATTTAAAACCACTCATCTCCAATCTGCTTTATCTTCCCTTCTCCTTTATACCCGTCTCCCCTTCATCCTTTCACCTATCATCAGCTTTCACCTATCCACATTCTGACCCATGTATGCGTCTTGGAAATGTTTCATATTATCTGCTTTTAAATCCCAGAGTGTTACCACAACAACAACAACCACAGTGATTTACTAAGTACTTTAGCAAGCGCCCGAAATGAAAATAAATAATAAGTATTTTCTATAGTCTATCTATTTTAAATAGATAGAAAAATAGATTGTCTGATTTTAGAAATAGATTTTTGTACCAATCTCCACTTTAATTCACTGATTTTAGAGACGGTTTTTGAGCTATGTTATATGAGCAGATACATTGTCTTGATGATAAATAATATTTTTTTAAATGGAAACCGTGTTGTTCTTATCAGTCTTGGCAAAAAATAATTTAAAAGGTTGAAAGGTAATCTGAGTTTATTTTTTAACAGCTTGGAGATAGACTAAATTCTTTCTGCTTTTCAGATAACCGATACCAACATCTTTTAGGGCCATGTAATGTAGAGTGTAATGGGCTTGACATGAGCAAAATTTTTATTGTTTTCAATGCAAATTATAAAGTTGAGAGTGAGAGAAAAAACAATATATCGGTTCAAATTTGGTCATGAAAGCAGAGGTTATCTGTGCTCGTCACTTAGGCAAAGCAGTCTTTTAGAAGCAAATTATTACAATTTCTTTGCCACTCTGCATAATATGCATTTTTGGTAGAGCCCAAGAGAAAATTTTGACGAGCCCATGACATTCTACATAACATGGCCCTTAAAACTTCAAACCTAAAGTGTCAGGTAGAGCACCTTTCTTTATTCTCTCGTTTTGATTTAGGATCATGCTGGTAGATCTAAGACCCATCCATATTTATTACAAAATCGTTTTTATACTTTCTAAAATACTTTATATGTTGAATTATTTGTAAATACGACACCCATGTTTTACGCTTCAGATATTGTTAAGAAAGATTTATTTAAAGGTGCTATTGTTGCATAGTTATGTAAATAAATGTTAGTGCCTTGCAACTTAAGATATGTTAGCATATGTTTTAAAATCGTTTATTTTTATTATATGTCATATTATATATATATATTCTTCGTTTTCAATTAAACTCTATATATGTCTAAAGATTTTTTTTCACTTACCCGGTGCCATATTTTACTTCTATCCATTAACAGTGTTAATCAGCTCTCCATTGTTGTAAATCGTCTATATAAGTACGAAAATTCTTTTGGTGGTTAAGTGTGGATCGCAACTTTTAACAAATTTAACTACTGTTTTAGGTTTTCTGTTATTAGCGTCTATAGTATTAGCAACCCATTCTTTAGATGGAGTGCAATTTTCAACATTTTGGTCCTCCTCGATGATTTCCTATGAATTCTATTTTCTATGCGTCTTAAGGTGGGTAGCAACCTTTCAGTTATTTTTTACATGGCAATGCTGCATAGCTTTTTATAATATTTTTGAAGTTATCTTTGTTTTTTATATATCAAAAAAATGTTTTTTTAACTTACCAGGTAAAATTTATCTATAGCTCGTAAATGCATCTATTCTTACAATTACATATAATTTTCTTTAAAGTAATACTCTCAACATTCTAAGCAGTATCTTCGTTGTCGACAATTGGACCGCAACCTTTAACAAATTTTGCTATAGTTCTAGGCTTTCTGTTAGTAGTGTTTGTAGTGCAAGAAACCCATTCCTTAGGTGGAGTGTTACTTTTAATATTTTGGCTATTACTTGTAATCTGCTCAGAATTCACGTCGTTAGGTGGATCACAACCTTTCAGCCTCTTCTTATTAGGTAACGTTGCATAGCTTCGAACGTTTTCGTATGATGAAAATGGTAAATATTTTTTTGTTGTCTCTAGCGTCTCAAGCGTTTTGTTCTGTGCTGCTTCTTTACCAATTTTTTTTACTTGAACCGCGTCCAAACGATGTATGGATACCTGAATACATTTATTATTAATCTTAGTTGAAGAAATCATTTGGAAAGGAATATGATTCGGAAATTGATATAATACATTTTTTCCTAATACGTTTAATAAATATGTATAAAAATAGTTAATACGGTTCAATATTGGTTTACGTTCTTTGGCTAGTGTTTTTGAAAGTAGTGTCAGCAGCATTTTGGACTTTGACAATTTTGAAATTTAAAGAAATTATGGGTTGCCCAAAAAAAATTTGGAAAATGGTACCAAAAATATTCAAGGAAACATAATTTTGATTTGATAATATTTGGAATGAAAATTTTATTGTATAAATCAATTTTTTTTTTTTAAATTGGGTTGACTACTTAGATTTGTTTCGAAGTTTTCTCACATTGTATAATTTCAATAAACATTTGATCCCTAAGGACTTTGATTTATTAGAGAATCTATCTACTTTAGTATGTGTTCCATTTAAATATTTTTAAGTCCAGCAAATAATCCTGATGGAATACAAACTGGCTCTTTTTTAAGAGTGTGTAATGCGGATTAAGCATAATTATCTACAGAAGTAATCAATTTCAGGGCGCTATGTATGATATATATATATATATGCATATCTTTATTTCTGCCATACTCATAGCGCTTTTAAAATATGTCTTAAAGAAATATTGTGGAAAATTTGATTATTTTAATAATAAATAAAGCAGTATTGACAAAATATACAGTATTGACAATATATTCGGAGGTTCTCCAAAACACACTTGATCTGAAATAATCTTGGATTTAATTGCGTATTTAAAAACCAGAATTTTCTTTTTTATATTTATGGTGTACTGAAGTATATATAGTATTGTGATATATGTCGATCGTGTTCCTAACTACTTGATAAAAATAAATATGTATAATGTACAATAAAACAGGTTGCAGACTTCGACTTTTAATTTAAAAGTTGGTCCATTATAAGATCCATATATTATCTTGTATTCTTCTCCTAATCCATTTTTATTAACATTTTATATGTTGATGTTGTTGTTGTAACTCGCGGAGATTTGCTTGTGAAATTCCTTTGGGGGAATGAACGACACTTTGTCGTCGAAATTGATGAGTGGCTTTGGGTTGTAGATCCGGCCGTTCGTGGAACCTTGCATTTTATATAATATGGCTTGCTAAATAATTTATAATCGGTGATCAACAATTTTTAAATATTTTAAATTAAGAAATGATTTAGTAATATATATATATATATATATACTTCTATATATGGTATCGTTTTTGGTGGGCTCGAATATAGTGAGACGTTCGTAAGACTGTGTCAGGGTATATTTACTAGTGTTTATGATATATGCGGTATACCTACTTCAAACAATAACTGGACTATGATCTATAAGCAATCAGTGACTAAAATTTAAACACTCACTCTTTGTCATGCATTCCAATCTCATAAGAGGATGTGGTATCTTGTTTTCCTAATTGAATTTCTTCTAAAAAAATTAATTATATTGGCGACATATATAAATGGTATTTAATTTTACCTGATGTAGTAAATTTGCAAAAATTCTTGATACCATATCACTCATCACAACTCAAACTTATATCAAGCGGTTCTTTTAGAAATATTTTTTATAGATATAAGTCATAGTTTTCGACTTTTAATCGTCATAAGGACCGCAACCCTTTACATATGTTGTTGGATTAGGTTTCGTAGCCATACAAAGTTCTCGCTGACGGTCCCAATAATCCCTATTTGTTACTATAGGTGCTTGATAGACGCTATTGACATGCTCAAAAGCTATAGATGAACCTCGGTGTTTTTGTTCCCAATATTCTCTATTCTTAGCCAGAACAGAGCTATGTAATTTTTCCACCGCATTTTTATATGCTGTTTCCACTAATGTGGCTGATCTCTTATCTACCATATAAACATTATTAAAATGAATATCATCTAAGCGAGGTGCTTCTTCAAGTGAAAATTCTCTTGGAGAAAATTTCTTGATATTTTTAAAATTAAACGGTTGTATTGTTGTTGTCTCAGGCTGTGGTTTTTGCTGTTCTAAAGGCGTACACTTAGATACCTTCTCAGCTTGTCGTAACACTGTGCCACATACTCTTTGTAGAGCACTCCATGCAAAACACTGCGGCATTTTAAAAATTGAAGAAACTTAACTTAAAGGCACCTTTTTTTTAATAACTTTAAATTTTGTCCATTACTTAAATTTTGTTACACACTTAAATTAAAAAAAAAAATATAAAGATTTCGATATAAATACAATTTTCATATAACTTTGTGTAAATTTTTTTAAATTTAATTGGCCTACTGAGATTATTAAAATTTAATTGAGAAATAATTAGGTTGAAGGCCAACTAGATTATCTACTTTACTTTTAAAAATATTTCTTGTTTTTAATTATTTGTAAATAATTTCTTTTGTTTTTAAGACTGCAAGTATCGGGAATTGTATTCGTGACCTGCTAAATTTGAAGCTCAGAGTCAGTGTTCAATAGCCAACTGATCCAAATCTGTACTTGACTTTTATGTTTGCACATTTTTCTGGAGTTTTGTCATATATAAAAAAAGAGCGAAAAGAATTTATATATAAAAAACACACAAAATTTTTACAAAATATTGAGGTAAAATACAGCAATGAATTTCGCATTTTGATTCCTCAAAGCTACTCAAAGCATCAATAAAGAATCGATGTTACTGTGATTCTTCTAGCATCGAAGGCACTATAAGCTCCTGGGTTTCTGCAAAGAGTAATAATAATAGTTTAGATAAACTCTAAATTGCGAGTTTAAGTCCTTATCTGAGAGGTGTTCTAGCAGTGTTTCTCAAACTGTGAAGTACGGAAGTTAGTGCCCAATGTCAAAGGAAAGACTTCTCTTTAAATGAAATGGATGATAAAATAAAACCTCTTGAAAATGAAAAATTCTCGTCGCTTCTTGATAAAATCTCTTCAGTTGAAGGAAATACATAAAACTAAAAATTGAACCTACCTTCTGCTCGGACCCGAATTTTGTTGTGTATTAACTACTCCTTAAGTAATAGACATTTTCCAAAAATTTTTTTTTTGTTATGTTGTTACACCCTTTTTTGACATATGGTACAAATTTGAGCACCACCTGTCAATTAGTTTGCAGCAGTTCTACAGCAGCTGTTAATGTGGGACTACCTCAAGTGCATTTAGCGAGTTTTACTATGGAAATTCTTGTTGTACGCGGTTTTTTGACCAAACACGGCACCACTGTCATCGCTAAGGGACCATATTCGCCAGATCCGGCGCCGTGCGTCTTTTTCCTGTACCCGAAACTCAAATTGCCCCTTCGTGGTAAGCGTTTTGAGTCGATTGAATCGGTAAAAGAGAATTCGCTAAAGTAACTAAAAGCTATACCTGCACGGGCCTACGAAAAGTGTATGAAAGATTGGGTTAAGCGTTGGCATATGTGTATCGCTTCAGAAGGAGCATATTTTGAAGGAGATAAAATAAATTTCCGGTTATTTTTTGAGCAGAAGGTATATTTTATATATCCAAATACTCTATCAGATGTTTTGTTTTTGACTAAAATTTATAACTAAATTTTCTGACTTATATATTTTATGCCAGGCTGTATAAAATTGCTTCCTTCATTCATTACTTAAAATATACTATATCTTATGTTGTTTTTTTGTTGTATTTCAAGTACGTTTGCAAAATCGAAATAATCATATATTTCGCTGTGACATGAGATATGCTGATGTGAAAAGTGAAGTTTTACCACAAACAAATTTGCATATTTTCCCATTTTCGATGTGAAGAACTCGTAAAGTTAAAAAATATGCTGACCAAAAATGGGAGTCGCTGGCTGGCAATTGCAGTACAGCAAAAACTATTTTTATTTAGTTTTTGAGCGGAAAAATAAGAAACGAAAATAACAAAATGATCAGCTCAAACTAAAACAATAGTAATATTAAATTTGCATAATAAAGAAGCTCACCGAGGAGAAGACGCGAGTATGCAAAAATTTTGGAATTTATATGCAAACATAAAAGTTAACATACAAAACAGAAATTCGACATTGTTTTAGCTTGAAGTAGCAACTAGCAACTAGCAACCGGCAACTAGCAACAAGCAACTAACAACTAGCAACTGTAAACTGGCAATATGCAGCAAAAATGACATTTTTAATATAAAACGCAGTTGAGATATTTTTGTCAGTTGACTTTTTCCATTCCAAACCAAAAAAAGAAAAAAAAAATGTATCTTTTGTGTGCAGTTTGCTGCAGTTTTCATGTTGCAAGTTGCGTGTATGTGCGCTTTTGCGTTTGTGTCCTTGGCAAATTACTTTACACAATTTCACAACCTTTTTGTTCAATTTTATTTATTCTTTTATATTTTCTTTTAATTTTTTTTTTACTTTTTATAAAACATTTACTTTAATGTGTTATCTTTTGAATATGTGCTGTATTTGCTTCACACTTGCTGGCAGCTGATCCATTTTTCTGTTGCACAAAACTTAATGCTTCCATTTTTTCGCAGTGCATTTGGAAGAGTTCCATTCAATCTGCAATACAATAGTTGCGGATATGAACCATTTTTCTACAGTCTGCACTGATTGCAGTTTTTTTAAGCTACATTTTTTTTCGCTCTTTAATCTGACAATATATGTTAAATTCATTCTATATTTTTGTCTACAAGTTTTTTTTTCCATTTTAGTCACGTGCTTAGCTTATGAATATCGCAGTTGATGAGCGCTAGATTCTCGGTTCATTCATATTCATCCAATTTATTGATACCTCGCATGTATCGTGGTGCGTATTAATTTTCTTCCGGATGCGTGTATGCGCAATTTGTGGCATCTTCGCTAATGAGAGTTTCAAGTATTTAGTATTTAAAAATTTAATATATCTGAATATTAAAGGTTCTCTTGACTTAACTAATTTTCTTTTAAATAAGAAAATATATAATAAAACAGATAATTATGCGACTTTTTATTGGAGTTTTTCCATAAAATCTACTCAGTTATTTTTTTTCACGTTATTTTCCTATTCCATGTGCTTTTCTTTTATAAAGGATATTTTTTGGAAACTATCCTTAAATTCCTTGCGGCCCTATACTCATCCTAGGAGTTAAAGGATTAAATATATCCTTAAATTTCGTAGTTCGAGAAACGTGAAGAACCATATAAAGAAGCGTGAGAAAAAATTCTCAGTATCCTCAAAATGTTTCATCAAAATTTTTAATTTATGTGCAAAATTTTAATCCATGAAAAATAGTTTATATCTTTGTACTGAAATTTCAACTTAGTATATCCAAAATACTTAATAATTACAAAATATTATAATTTATGCAAAATACAAAAATAGTTTGATTGGTATTCAAATTTTTAATCCATTAAATAACATTTTCATCTCTAATATCGAAAAATTCGTAGTACATCAAAAATGGTTATATTTTTGCAAGAAATACTTACGAATTGAAGAACTCTCAATTTAATTATATTATAAAACACCCTATTATTTTTTTATATATCTTTAGAGGGACCAAGTCCACGAGTAAGCACCTTAACCCCTATGGCTGTACTGACAATAATGTGAGAGGTAAGCCTCTTTTTGTTTTCACTCTTTGTTTTCATTGGTAATTAATCGTAGCTACGAACCAAACATTTTTGACCTCAAAAAGGATATAGGTTCTGGATATCAACTCAACTAACGTAAATGCCTCACATACTGGTCCGTTTTAAGGGACTGTGCTTTACTAGGTCCAGAACTGAGACAGGACACGCAAGTATACTGAAGCAGAATTTACTATTCTTTACTTTTATTGACTACACGTGTTGATATACAAACCGCATTTAGAGGTTCGGCGCTCCAGTATCAAGCAGAGATTACAGGACGCTAGATAGAGTAGTTCCTGCTAACAAGGTTAAAATTTACATGGAGTGGTCCGAACTAAATGACAGAGTTTGCAGTGGAATCTCTTCTAATAGCGGCCTTAGCATTTTGCTGCAACTGTGTAAACATTCCTGTGTCTTTTAGGCAATTGTGATAACAGTTTATTATGCAGCAAAGTATTGAGCCATATGGTTTTCGAGATGAATGAAGAAAACTTATTGGATAGCTTAACTGCAATCAAATTAACGCAATTAATTTTGAAAGACGTTACAGCTACTTGTCTCTTAGTTCGAAAATACAGAGAGAAGAACTGAGAGAAGTTGCCAGACCTGGACAAAGAGACATTTTGGACAAATATAATGCAGACGAACTTTCCAGCTCTGCAAAATTCTCTAGCTTAAATTTTAACTGGTCTGGACAGAGTTGACAAAGGGACATAGGGAAGTACATTTTTCAGGTTGGTTTTTTTTCTATTTTAATGGGGGACTCATGTTTTTTCAAAGGATCTTATTCGTATACTAGACGTGATTGAGATTCTACTTTTAAGTTTCTTACGTAGGTCTACTGTATGAACGCTGTCCCATCCATGATATTAGAATGGAACATTATTTGTACTTAAATGAGATTCGGTATATAAGACTCTATTATCAACTAACCTATTTGTGTTGGTTTTTTGTTTTACAGCTGGAAAAAGTTTCAGCTCATAGGTGTCGCGCTGTTCGGTCCTGGTCTTAGGGGCTATGACACGTTGGATCTTTAATTTGCTTTTGGAAGCTTGAATTCACTAAAAATTCCTTTTAATTAAAAAAATGTTATACAAATATATATTTATATATATACATATAGGTATATACAGCTAATATAATATTAAAATTGGTTTAATCTATTTATGTAAACTCTCATGCATTATGTTAACAATTTTCTCAAGCAGATTATTTACTGCCATTAATTTGAATAATTTATAACCGAAAAATCTAAAATTAAGTCCTTTGTTTGTGGAACATAAAGCAACAATTTTATTAAGCAAACAACTTTCTGGTGCAGTTGAGCAGTTTCGTTGCACTTACGATCCAGTTCAGTTCCAGTTCCAGTTGCAGTACACGGCACGGCACGGCAAATAAATTTTGGCCGTTTGAGCGATAAATGATAAAAATCAGCCATAAAAGTCAAGCATTAATTAGAGCAAAGGCAGCGCCTGAATGTGCGCAAGTTAATTGAAAATAATAGGAAATTGTAAAAGACTAACGGCCCCACGCCGCGTCGTCCCCAAACAATGGACGTAACTGCACTATGCGGAGTAACCCATGAAAGCTCCTACAGAAGTGAAGTAAGTAAGCACAAAGC